AGGAGGAGGAGGAGGTGCCGGAGCGGCTGGAGAGGAGGAGATCAGCCCCGAGGATGACCAGAGAGCCAACCGCACGCTGTTCCTGGGCAACCTGGACATCACCGTGAGCGAGTCGGACTTGCGGCGAGCGTTCGACCGTTTTGGGGTCATCACTGAGGTGGACATCAAGAGGCCAGGGCGTGGGCAGACCAGCACCTATGGGTTTCTTAAGTTTGAGAATCTGGACATGGCGCACCGGGCCAAGTTGGCCATGTCGGGGAAGGTGCTGCTGCGCAACCCCATCAAGATCGGGTACGGGAAAGCCACCCCGACCACCCGGCTCTGGGTGGGTGGCCTGGGGCCCTGGGTGCCCCTGGCCGCCCTGGCCAGGGAGTTTGATCGGTTTGGCACCATCCGTACGATCGATTACCGCAAAGGGGATTCCTGGGCCTATATCCAGTATGAGAGCCTGGACGCGGCGCAGGCAGCCTGCACCCACATGCGGGGGTTCCCCCTGGGGGGGCCGGATCGCCGGCTCCGCGTAGACTTTGCCGAGCTTTTGGGGCTCACCGGGGAGCCCCCCCTGACCCCCTCCGGGGGGCCCGGGACAGGACGCCACCGTTGCTCTATAGAGACCGTGACAGAGACCTTTATCCCGAGACAGAGTGGGTGCCCCCACCACCCCCTGTGCGGGACCGGAGTAATCGGGCAGCTGCCTACGACCCACTGGAAAGCCTGGAGCGCCGTCGGGATGGGTGGTCCTTGGAGCGGGACCGCGGGGAGAGGGAGCTGGGCAGTAGCAGTAGGGATCAGCCTAGGAAACGGAGACTGGCGGAGGATGGAGGCCGGCACTTGGACCGTTCCCCTGACAGCGAGCGCTCCTCTTCCTCCCGAAAGCGCCACTGCTTGGCCACAACCTCTCCCCCGGACCGCAGCCCCGAGCTCCTCGGAGGCCGGGAGCGTTACAGTAGTGACCCTGAGCGCTCATCCCGCTTGCTCCTCTTGGAGCGGCCTTCCCCCATCCGGGAGTCCCGCCGGGGCAGCCTGGAGCGGGGGCAGAACGAAAAGCGAGACCGCAAGAATTCCGCGGAGCGGGAGCGCAAGCATCGCGCCGCCGCCGCCCAGGAGTGCAAAAGTCCGGCCAAAAAGGACGAGCGGGCGGCGGAGGGAGGTGGCGGAGGCTCCCGGCTCAAACCTCCTCCCCAGAAACAGCAGCAGGACGGAGCAGCGCAGGCCGGGGCAGCGCCCAAGCTGTGCCTGGCTTGGCAGGGGATGCTCCTGCTGAAGAACAGCAACTTCCCGTCCAACATGCACCTGCTCCAGGGGGACCTCGGAGTCGCCAGCAGCCTCCTCGTGGAGGGAGCGACTGGGGGGAAAGTGGCTCAGCTCAAGATCACCCAACGTCTCCGTCTGGACCAGCCCAAGTTGGACGAGGTCAACCGGCGCATCAAGGTGGCGGGTCCCAACGGATACGCCATCCTTCTGGCCGTGCCCGGCGCCTCAGACAACCGCTCCGCAGCCGGAGCTGCCGAGGCCGCCACCACCTCCACGCAGAGGCCACTCAGGAATCTGGTGTCCTACCTAAAGCAAAAGCAGGCTGCTGGGGTGATCAGCCTCCCTGTGGGGGGGAACAAAGACAAGGAGAACAGCGGGGTCCTGCACGCCTTTCCGCCCTGCGATTTCTCCCAGCAGTTCCTGGACTCCACGGCCAAGGCGTTGGCCAAATCAGAGGACGACTATCTGGTCATGATCATTGTCCGTGGGGCATCCTAAGGCCCTCCTGTTCTGTTCCCAACCCTACCTACTCCTCCATGCAGCCCCTCCAGCGTGTGCCAGGTGCTATGGGATACCGCCTTAGCCAGCCCTGTCGTTATTTTAAATAGATCTTTGTTTTTAGGTGACTTTCCCAGCCCGATTTTCTGTTACTACATTTTTCTATAAAGGTAGAAACCAGAGAGGTTGGTTAGGAGTAGTGTGAATAGAATATTTTGAGAATTCCCTATCAGCGGGGACGGCAGGGAGGCTCAGCCTGCTATGATTTACAGAAAATAGAAAAAATAAGAAAAACTAGGGTGGGGG